GGGGACTCAGGGCGGCTTACAAAAAGGCACAATTCGATGCCTAACAATTCACAAAATACAGTACAATATACAATACACAAATTTACCATATAATGTCAACAATTATAACTAACTAAAACAGTCAAACAATATACTAGCAGCAATAAAATCATCTTATGGTTAATGTTAGCCAATTCATAGTCCGTAATCCATCTAGCATCGTCATTATCCTTTCCTGCTCTGGTCGTCATTGATTGTCTTTTTCCATCTGCCAGCTTACCCGAAGGCCTGGTCCCACATCCAGGTTTTTAGCTTCCTTCTGAAAGCAAGGAGGGATGTTGATGACCTAATCTCCCCTGGGAGTGCATTCCACAGGCGAGGGGCCACCACCGAGAAGGCCCTGTCCCTCGTCCCCACTAGTCTCGCTTGTGATAAAGGTGGGGCCGAGAGCAGGGCCTCCCCAGCAGATCTTAAACTCTGAGGTGGGACGTAGAAGGAGATATGTTCGGACAGGTACGCTGGGCCGGAGCCGTAAAGGGTTTTGTAGGTCAAAACCATCACTTTGAATTGGAAAGAAGTCAAAAGTTAACTATGCTGTAAGAGGAACTATTTAGGGAACTTATAGGGGTAGGAATTATAACGTATAGATATCATAGTGAGTAGAGATGAAAGTCCACGATGGGTGGGTGGGTGGGTGGGTCAAGAGAATGTGCTATCTACGATGTATGTCGCTGTTTTTGTATGTTGCGTGCTTTATTTGTTAATATATATCACTGTTTTTATTTTGTGTTTAAATAATAGTAAAATTTTAAATTAAAAAAAGGAATTGGGTTAAAATATGATTTTGAACAAATGGTCTTGCATGTTTCAGTTGAGAAGCATGCCTCTTTGCTCAATTTATAACTTCTATATTTCTAAATGTTTTAATTCTTAGGTAAGTATCCTAGGCAGGTCAGAACTGCCGCTATCAGATTGCTGTTTCAGCCATTCATTAAGAACAAAGTTTCAGAACATCCGCTTAATCAGGACACATTCCTAGCATCTAAATGAAGCTGCACTTATTAGTAGAATAGCTAACGGTGATTAGAAGAATAATCTGGCTAAATGTTTCGCCGTGTTTCAGATGTCCATAATTTCTTAATACATTTTTTTCAGAGCGGAAGAACTTTAGTACCCAACGTTCCCAAGTTCTGACATCCTGTAAAAAGACAGACAGTGTTGTGACAGCCTAGTCAGTAGAGTTGGCAGAGGATAAGATGATGTATGATCCACTATCCATCTTACGTAATGAGAAAATTGATGCCATTACCTATCAAATTGGTACAGTTGAAAGGTGACAATGTTGAGATGAGCTTGGAAGTGATACTTCAGCTTTAAAAACATAAAGGCATTTCTCATTTTTAAATAGAGCTGTTGGCTCTGCAGTTGGACTTCAACTGCTCCTTGGGATGTCATGCTTCAGGACAGGTCAGTTCCATGCAGCAGATAAATCAAGTATGGAATTATGTTTCCTGAAATGTACTTCTCTTGGTGAAAGCTATTTCAGACTGGATATTAGCAACTAGATTTGTTTGTGTGTAAAGGAGATAAGACAGATTTCATGCTGGTTAGTCAAACAAAAACATCAAAGATTCAGCCTATGATTATAGATGTTACATTCCCCTTAAAGATGCATGTCTGTATCTTGGGTATACAATTGGCCCTCCACATCCACAGATTCAACCATCTATGGCTTGAAGATATTCTTTAAAATCCATTTTATGTAATATATACCATTTTACTACACCATTATATATCTTGGAACTTGAGCATCTACAGAGTTTGGTATCCATGGGGGGGACCATCACCTATCAGATATCAAAGGTCCACTGTATTTTTGTATTTAACCCTGAGCCTGGAAGCTCAGGTTTCTGTGGTTCATAGGAGTGGGTTCACACCCAGGCCTTGAAGCAGGACAGAAATAACGTCGTCGTCCCCCCCTTTCTTTCCTCCCTCCCTCGCTCGCCACAGTTGTGGACCATCTTCATTGCTGACTGACAACATGGAGGCTCTGAACGTCTTCAACCAGGAACTTTTCTCACTGATGGAGATGAACCTCTTATTTCCCATGCAAAGATGTTTCTCATCACTAAAGCTGCAATTAATGCTATTAAGCTTTATAAGTATGTAGTCCGGATTATAGGGAAGTTTATAAAAAAAATAAACCAGAATATAAAGTCCCTGGATTATATATAATTCACTCAATTGTTCATAAGTCTCCTCATAAGCTTGGAACAGACAAGAACATTTTTGGGCCAAGATTTTGTAAAAATGTAATTGCCATATTTATATTTATATCTTTGCTCATCAGAAGATAAGAGTAAGATAGATTGTGTCCTCAACCTATGACAGAAAAATTGAGTATTTTAAATAGAAATTATCCAGCATAGGAGTACATTTGCAGTTAATGCGTGTGCATTCCAGTTAACTTTAATGTCTCTAGTTAGGCCTTGACTTGCTGGTTTTCATGTCCACAGTTGAAGCAAAGGACTATCAAATTAGGCTAGAAGCATGAAAGTTAGAAAAACTTGCTGAGATGGTAGAGTGCTTCAAGGACTCTTCTGTCTGCCCTATCTTGTTCCGCCCCTTGTCTTCTTACACAACCACTCCTTTCTGCTGCTCTGGCTAGTTGCATTTATTCTGGCAAGCTCATTAGAAAATATTTTAAGCCTTATTGCTGAACCTGCCAGAGATTTACCTCCTGAGATGACAAAACATTCACCTGATCTAATGAGGCTTCACCTGCACAGTTTTAACCCTCTGTTGTCCCTTTGGGAGTGACAATGCCCTTCTTTTAATGCCAGAAATCAAGGCTTTTGGTTCTAAAGAACTAGGAAGGCTGCAGATTTGGCTATTGTGTTCTGTTTCTTGAGTATTTGATTTTCAGTATTGCCTGCAAGTGAAAGAATAGGAAATAAGAGAGCTGCCCCTTGCTTCAGTCCTATCTCACCCTAACTGTTTTGAGCTAAGTTGATTTACTTGTCTTCAGCAATGGGAAGGGGAGCCAGTCTGGTGTGCTGACTGAGCGTTAGACTATGATGCTGGAGACCAGGATTTGAATCCCTGCTCGGCCTTGAAAACTCATTGCATGAACTTTGGCAAGTCACCCTTTCTCAGCCTCAGAAGAAGGCTAAGACAGACCTCTTCTGAACAAATCATACCACAAAAACCACTTGGTAGGGTTATTTTAGGGTTGCCCCAAATTGGAAATGACTTGAAGTCACATAACACAACAACAGTGTGAAGCCACAAATCTGCACTTTTCCTATTTTGCATATAGAAATGACATTGACTGTATCTTACTGAGAGCAGATTGATTAAATAGATACTAAACAATTTAGTGTGAATGAACATTGGAAAATTCTGTCTTTCTGTTACTCAAGGCAGGACAAAAATCACTAGGGTATTCAAGAATTGCCTTCCAATATTTTAAATTTTGACGTATTTTCTAGTCTTGTGACTGTTGTGTCTAACAGGGTCAACCACTGGCATTGAAGCAGTAATTCTCTTGCAATCATGTCTGATTGTTCTTAGAGGAAGTGAATATAGTCTTGCCTTATGATCAGAATGACATTATTTTGTTGGCCTGTTGTGCAGGAACCTGGAGACTGCTGAACTGTCATGAAGCAAAACAAATCTGCTTTAATTAAGCATTCACAGTGTCATTCCCAATGTGAATGCATCTCCAGTGACAACCAGCCATCTACCTGTTCACAGTGCTGAAATGGTTGGGGAGTGTGCAGTTTCTTCATAACCAGATGGGATGGTTGTTTGCAGAGTGAGAAGTCTGTCCCTTTAAGGGCTTTCTGGAAACCTGGCACTATGCCTAGCCTCTTCTCTTTTTCCCACTTCAAGGCTGTTCCTTTGGGGCTTTTCTTGAAACAATACTGCAGATTACTCTGCCACTGTTCTTGCTGTCCTTATGTAGAAGTGGAGCCTTGCCCTCCGAACTGCCTCTGAATTTCCAGCCAGCTATGCTTTGAGGAAGGAGAGTGAGTTGTAGTGTTGGAAGAACTGGTAGTTGGAAGAACTGGTGATGGGGGCTTTAATTTGTCTCAACACTGAAAATGTAAGAAGCAGAGCTGTCATCTGGAAAGAGTGACATGGATTCTGAGTCCAACAATCCTCAAACTATGTGGGAAGGCAGCTCCGATTTCCAATTTTGGACCCAGCTTTTCCTGTGGATGCACTTGCTTGGTCGGCTGGTCGGTTACATCTTGCATCACTATGGGGGCTAAAGCAATAACCGTACTGACGTGTTTGGATTCCTGTCCTAAATATACATTTCTTTGGCAAATAATCCATATGAGAAAAAGATATCTGCCTTGTACTTTCTCCTTCTCTTTTCCACCAACTCATTTCTTATTTATTAGAAGAGGTTTCATTTACCAGTGGCTTCTTAACTTTTGTATGGAGGCAAAGCAAAGGTTAAGTCACTAGAAGTGAGCCGTTATTTTCATTCCTGATCTTTGTGGGAAGATTATGGACTGTGCAGCTATGCACACTTTTTGTGCACATTTGGAAATGTTTTATAAATAGATTCTACAGATCATTATAACAATGAATGATATTTTGCAAAAGAGTGTTTTGCAGTCTTAACATTTAGGGAGAGGAAGTGCCCATCACCAGAAAACATAGCATCTGAACAAGCTCTTCTTTTGCCTCTGTCTTACAGACTGTATCTGTCTTGCCACACTATAGGCCAAGCTTTTTGAGTTGGGGTGTGGTCATTTCATTGTGTTAGCTGACTAGCTCTGTCTTCTGAAATTCTTCTCCCTCTTTTGCATTGGAGGATCACCCTGTGTTGTGGGGGTTTCCTACCTGGTGAGAGCCTTATTTGCCCTACCTTCAGGCCTGAGGGTGAAAGGGATTCAGAGAATCTCTGAGCTATTTTAAGCCTTATTGCGTGGCCCTCACTACAGTTGATCTGGCAAGCCTGCCTGCCTGCCTCCCTCCCTCCTTCTGTATTAATCAAATCTGCCCGCTGTTCACCCTCTGACCAGCTGTTTAAGTGACCAGGCTGCCCGTGTTTGTTGCTGAATACACAGAGACTATGGACTGGGCAATGATGGACCTTTCCTGGACATCGTGGGAGTTGGGGAATCCTGGTATGCACATGGATGGCTGCCCTGGAGAACTGCGTACCAGTTGCTGAACTGTCATGAGTGTTTTGGTCCAGCGAAGTCATTTTGATGAAAATTCTCTCCCGGTTAGAAGTCGCAAACAGTTTGTTTGAGCCAAGTGCTTGTCTCAATCAGTTGGACAGGAATGTAAAGAGCTCTGCTGAGTCTGGGCTGTGTCTGCTCTCCTGTTGCTGCTTTCAGCCTTCTCTTCCTGCAGCAGGACAGAAAGAGGGTTGTGTCTGTCCCAATCTTCTTGCAAATGGCAACGACCGGGGCAAGTGCTCTCCTAGACCCTGACGGAGTGGCCTCACTCTGTTTGATGTGAGAGCAGAGCTGGAGCAGGCAAAGAAACTGGTGATTAAAATAAAGGGAAACATGAACCATGGAGCTGAGGTGAACTCTCGAAACTCCAGCAAGAACAAAGGGTGTAAGATGTCGGCGCTACAGAAACTGGAGAATCTGGCTGGCCGGATCTTTTACTGGGGCCCACGGAGTGATGCAGGGCTGCCTGACTGTGGAAACACAGCCTCTGAATCAGAGCACACGGCTGCTTGGAATGAGCAGAGTGAGTTGACAATAAAACATGGCTTCAAGGGGTCTAGGGATGGGTGTAAGGTTCCCTGAATCTCTCCTCCCAAAATTAATCTGTACAGAACAAAAGCAATTGCTACTGTTCTCCTTATGCATGTCTTGGCAGCTGAATGTGGATCAGGTCAGTGAAGTAAGCTGCTGTTTGTTGCCAAAGAAAATATCAGATGTGATATGCTATTCTGATAGACATTTTGGTTGTGGCTACTGTCCATTCAGTTATTCATGCTAGGCTATGTTTTGAAGTGCAGGTTGCTTCCTTTTAGGGACACCAGAGCTGGGGGAAAACTGCTTTTTTGTTTACAACTCGCAGAATCCCCCAGCCATAGAAAATTATCATTTCTCAATGACAGAAGGGCTCCCTAGTGTGTGGCTATGATTTTAACCTCCCAGTGTTTATCAAGCATGACCATTGATCCAACTCTGCTTCACTGCTGGCCACTAAATGATTTAAACACTGACTTTAGTGGCTCTTCATTGCATACTCTATGTCTTAATTTGTCTATTTCAAGTATGACAGTCTGTATAAAAAATGGATTACTTACTGAAATGACATAGGAGACTAGCTTAAACTGTAGGAAATGTACTAGTAATTCAGCAGCCATTTTGATGTGAGTAAAGCCATGGGAGGGAAAGATACTAGAGACAAAGTTGAAGTACTTTGGCCACATCATGAGGAGACAGGAAAGCCTAGAGAAGACAATTATGCTGGGGAAAGTGGAAGGCAAAAGGAAGAGGGGCCGACCAAGGGCAAGATGGATGGATGGCATCCTTGAAGTGACTGGACTGACCTTGAGGGAGCTGGGGGTGGTAACGCCCGACAGGGAGCTCTGGCGTAGGCTGGTCCATGAGGTCACGAAGAGTCGGAGACGACTGAACGAATGAACAACAACAAAGCCATGGGGTAGAGTTGGGTGGGGGTGGCAGAGAGAAGGTGAATAATGGCAGGAGTGCCATCTATCCTGGAAACCATTTCCCTGCCTCACCCGTTTCCCTTTCCAGGCAGAAAGTTTTGGGAGGGAGCAAGAGATGACACAGGGAAATAATGTCTAGAGAAAATGCCTCTTCCCTGCACTTATCTGTTCTTTCCTACCCCTACCCAAAATTTATTATGGTAGAGGTGGGAAAACTTGGCCTTCCAGGTGTTTTGGGACTGCAACTTCCATCAGTCCTAGCAAGTTTAGTTTCTGTGCATTTGGCTGTGATGTGCATTTTGGGCTACACTGGTAATATAGAAAAATATACAACTTGGACTGCAGAGAATAAGGATAGTGAAGCATACCGAGATGTCCTGCCATATTTGGGGGAGAATGTCAGTTTTTTTATTCCAGCTGGCAGATAAGGTAGTATTTAAAAAATCCAATGTCTTCCTATACTCTTTTATTTTTGTGACCATTTTGCAGCCTTACCTGTGGATGTTTCTCACTTGGTAAGGGAGACCTTTATTTTTCTTCATGTTAAATGCCTAATCAGACTTGGGAATTCCCGTCTCCAGCTGATAGAGCTTTGTAATGACACACATAGACTGGCCATTATTGTTTTAGCACTTTCCACTACTAGCTGAGACTATGGTTTTGATTCTTGACTTGGTGAACGGTTGTATTTTGATTCCCAGAGCACTCTACTTCAGGTTTTGGGTCAGAAATAGAAAGTAGACCTTTGCATTGTCTGCACTATACATTACTACCTCACAACAGCAGAAGAGACTAAATGCAATCTGATTTTGGATCCTCAAGTATGTTTAAACAAAGCTGTGACAGTAAGTTTTGGCACTGCTGCATGGCCTAAAATAGAAGCTTGTACAACATCTGATGCCAGATTCCTCTTTGGCCTTGTTATGCTTTTGGCGTTGGCATCTCTTCTCAGTGCTGTGTCCGGTCTGTTGCACAAGAAGAGAAATGCTCAGAACCTCTGACAATCTTCTTCTTCAGAAAGTTAAATCTAATTATGGGAGCTAGGCACAATATTATAATACAATAACTTTATTTTTGTACACTGCCTCCATCTCCCCGAAGGGACTTGGGGCGGCTTACACGGGGATGAGCCCGATCAACATGGTTAAGATACAGCACATTAAAATTTCTCAACAACAACATAATATAAAACAAAACAAAACAGAAAAACAACATTATAACAAAATATAAAAACAAAACATTAAACCAATAATGAATGAGATCTGCGATAATAATCAGTTTCTGGGCATGAGTGGAGGGACTGGTGCACAAACAATTGTGAGGATAGGGCTGATGGATAAAGTGCATAGGTCATATGGCAGCAATAGAGATAGGGGTTAGTATACGATAGAGCATTATAACTTTGGGCGAGGACAAGATTGTGGGTCCTAGCTGAGGCCAAGGTATCAGGGAGATTGTCTAGTCAAAAGCACAGTGCAACATCCACAGCTTTAGATCTTACCAGCATTTTCTACCTAGCTCTTTGTCAAAGGACTTGATGATAAAAACAATTGCGCTTCCACATGTATCACTGTAAAAACATTTGAACCTTCCAGTTTTCATTAGTAAAAGAACGATGACCAATCCCTATCAGATTTGAAGGCAGCCCATTGCAGATGATCGGTGGCCATTTGATTTATTGTGTACTTTCCCGTCTCCAGCTTTTAGCTAACAAGGCAATTGAGCAATCTAATTAGGAGTTTTTTGGTTTATTGGTTCCTGAAATTAATATCTGTGAACTCTTGTGAAGACAGCATGATAGTTAAGTCAGGATAGGTTTTGAGAACTCTGGAAAGCATAATGAAATATATTTGCTAGATTCTCAGATGATCTTAGCCGGTCTGAGTCCCTCTATGGAGGTTGAGAAGATCGGGATACAAAAGTTTAAAATAAATAAATAAATAAATAAAATATTTCAATAATAAAAAAGGATTCTCCAGATCCCCTCCCCAAAAAAAGAAAAACAAAAACAAAAAAACCCTCTGGTCTGTTTTTGCCTCTATACTTCATACTACCCAACCCAAGCGGCAACGTGGCTGTATTTTCAATGAGCTTGCATTGGCTTAGCAACCTCAGGAGCTTAAGCAACAATAAACAAGTATGCCACTTGTCAGCCACCTGGTGCCTACTCAGTGTGGAAATAGGAGTGGCAGCTTTGCATCTATCTGTGGATTTTTACCATAGTTTAGAGCCAGCCTTGTTGAGGACGGGGTTGAATTGAATGGTCCTTTTGGTCTCTCAACACGTATGATTGAGGCAAAGGTTGACACTGAGTTATTGAGACTCCTGACCAAAACATAACTGACTTCCTATACTGATCACTCTTGTGACCTAGTGTTAGCTGGATCAAAGTCTCCTAAATCCCAGCAAAGCTCCTGTCATGTCACTTATACAGAGCAGATGGCACAGGGATGATAGTCCAGGAATCTGACTCCTAATTGAAGGCACATATCTTGTCTCAGTTACCAGGGATTTCTGGGTGAAGTCTTTAGTCCTTCCATCAAAACAACCATTAGTTGCTTAGCTGAAACCTGTACTGAAAGCACACAGCTAATTAGAGCTGTTCATGGGAAAACCCTATATGCAGATTTCATCCCAAAATATAAACAGATTAGGGAAATGGATGGCTCCCCTAGTAGTAAGCACCATTTTATACGAAGGCACCCTCAAAGATAATTACAGTTGGACTAGCACCAGTCCTGACTGAGCCTACTGTGTCCAGTTATTTTGGGAGTTTTTCTGTACTTGTGCAAAGGACTCCAACACATCAATCATATAAACCCCCTCCCCCTTTTCATTCTAAAAGTCCAAAATGTTTGTATGGTCAATTTCTGCTGGAAGGCGACCATAAATGGCTTAGAGGTTCCTAGAGAGAACATCTCCAGCAAAGGATCACCACCTTGTCGGGGCGCTGGAGCTTGAGCACCTCAATGATGTCATGAGCGAAACCGTGAAGGGACACCCAAGACGGGACGGTTGTGGCAGAGAGGTCAGACCAAGCGTGATCCCTGGGGAAGGCAATGGCAAACCACTCCAGTATCCTTGCCAAGAAAACTAAATGGACCAGTACAACCAGAGATATGTCGGTATGCCATTGGAAGATGGGACTCCCAGGTCGGAAGATGGCCAAAATGGTACTGGGGAGGAGCAGAGGATAAGTTCAACTAGCCCCAGATGTGATGACGCAGCTAGCTCAAAGCCGAAAGGAAGGCTAGCGGCCGACGGTACTGGAGGTGAACGACGAATCCGATGCTCTAAAGATCAACACACCATAGGAACCTGGAATGTAAGATCTATGAGCCAGGGCAAATTGGATGTTGTTACTGGTGAGATGTCAAGACTAAAGATAGACATTCTGGGGGTCAGCGAACTGAAATGGACTGGAATGGGCCACTTCACATCAGATGACCACCAGATCTACTACTGCGGACAAGAGGAACATCGAAGAAATGGAGTAGCCTTCATAATTAATAAGAAATTCGCTAAAGCGGTGCTTGGATACAACCCAAAAAATGACAGAATGATCTCAATTCGAGTGCAAGGAAAGCCTTTCAACATTACAGTGATCCAAATATACGCCCCAACCACAGCTGCTGAAGAAGCAGGAGTAGATCAGTTCTATGAGGATCTGCAGGACCTACTGGATAATACACCAAAAAGAGACATTATTTTCATTACAGGAGACTGGAATGCCAAGGTGGGAAGTCAAATGACAACTGGGTTCACAGGCAAGCATGGTCTGGGAGAACAAAATGAAGCGGGACGCAGGCTGATAGAATTTTGCCAGGAAAACTCGCTGTGTATAACTAATACTCTCTTCCAGCAACCTAAAAGACGGCTTTATACATGGACCTCACCAGATGGTCAACACCGAAATCAGATTGACTACATCCTTTGCAGCCAAAGGTGGCGGACATCCATCCAGTCGGTGAAAACAAGACCTGGGGCTGACTGTAGCTCAGATCACGAACTTCTTATTACCCAATTTAGAATAAAACTAAAGAGATCAGGGAAAATACACAGA